CATACGGGTCCTTTGTTTCGCACGTCTCTCAGCTATTTCTATCGATCTTTTTGCCACAGCAATCACCCGTCAGCGGGGTTTATGCTAGGATATTTGCAAAAAATCCGGAGCGCAAGTGTCTGCTGTGGGGAACAGGGAAAGGAAAAAGAACACGTTATATCCCTTTTCGGGTCTGGCGCATTCACCACCACACCATGCGCATCTTTCGTTTCTCCTTTCTTTGAGCTAGTTCTCTTTTTACCAGTGCCATCAGCAATCACCTGTGGTCTGAAGTTTTGCGGATATCTCAGCACCATTCAAGCTTGTACGATTAGCATAACAAGATTGGCAATCTGCATGGACTGTGGGCATCTTTCTAAATATGAATCTCTGTGTACTACTGTAAAAAGTGTTATCGTGATGTTAACTCGGTTATGCTTCTTTTGTCGAGTGATTGTTAGGGTTTCCAAATACTGACAAATGTTTGTGGAAAACGACAAAATCTGCGAGCACAGTTCGTCTAGTTCGACCTTATTTCCCACCTTCCATTTTTTTAAAAGAATCCTTTTAAAACGAAACATTTACGGTTAGCAGATTTTTTTTGAGGTTGTATAGCACTGTCCATCCATTGTATTGAAATTGAAAGTTGTTTTATAGACGTTTATGGAGGAGATTGCTTGTCCACCTATCCGTGGAATGAGCGGGGATACATCTTATCCGAAGGCTTACGCAATATCGATTGGAACATTCAGATTTTATACATGGAGAATCAAACACACATTAGCAAGGTTAAAAAGGCATGCGAATTTTAATTAAAGATTTTTTTTCTAAATCACTTAGTGTTAAAACGGTGATGCAGATTTGAACGTTATACCCGAGTATACTAATATTACTTTTTTGGATACTTCGGTAGCGCGTCCCCACTGGTTGTGAGTCCCCCAGCATAGTCTCTATTTTTTTCGGTATTTGCTGGTTTAACCACTGTGGTTCCCTGGAGTCCTGAGGTCAGTCTGGTCAAAGTCTGCCCCAGGTTGTCACCACCACGGTCGTCGCCTTTCTGGATCAGAGGAAGATTTGCCACCATGCGACTAGTTTGATACCAGGACGATGGTGGATCCTGGTATAGGCTTACTCTTAGCTGGTCTTCGTGATGGAAACGCCGGACTCGTCAACTAGGGAGACCCTGGAGGAGGGATACCCCGGCTGTACATCGCAGCCCAACACCGAGGAGCACTTCCCAGTCACGATGAGGCGGCAAACCGCACTTTTATTAAGGTTTATTAAGATAGGCAGTTTTTTCACGGTTAGTTGTGAATTTCAGTGTCATGATGTTTTCAATGTGCCCAAGAATGGTTCATCGGTGTCTTTTCCATTTTGCGCTGCGTCATTTGGCGTTTTCAATACAGGCGCCGGATCCACTGAAATTTGCTATCGCAGGAGTAAGCCTTCGGCACGATTATTTGATCTAAACATAGAAAGTAGAGAGTGCGTTCGTTATTTCTGTTTAAACATTTCAATGCATTCATTTTTTAAGGCGTATATTGCAAACTTTTTTCGTTTAAGTGATTTATGTAGTCCACTTGTTGGTGTGAATGTTATGCTATATCTTCCTCCAAAATTCTACAATGAGACAGCTGTAAGAAGTTCTACTAGATACCTGTTGTTGTCGTCACGAGTGAGTGCTTCTTCCTTGATATATGAATTTCTTACAAAACGTGTTCTAGTGACTTAGTGTGTCCCAGGTACCTCTCTCCTCTTTTGAATAACATGAAAGTGGTTTTCCCGTGTGAAAAGAAGTAGTAGGAATTAAAGAAATGATTCTTGTCCAATGCTTCAGCTCGATAGTTTTGGACTCATCCCAGAAATATCACCTGGTGAAATCAGTGTGGTCACTTCCGTCATAGCACTTCTGGCCGCCGCTCGTGCTATAGGACAGCATTTCGCAGTTTTTGAACGGGCAGCTTACGCGTCGGATCGCCATGTAATTATCGCCTTCTTTGATGGAGTGCGTCGTTTATGAACATTATTGTCTCATATGTTAAGCTGAGTATTCTGTAAAACATTTATCTTGCAGGAATCTTTCGACTACATTGGTAGCAGTGATGTTGCTTATGATATGATGTAAGCTTATAGTTGTGAAGAAATTAAGCTCAATCTGTTGCTTTACCACTTTCATACCAGGAAAGGCGAGTTCCCTCGAAAGCTACGAAGCGACATTAAGACGCAGCTTGATCCGATCATTACGTCTCAGCTAGATGGGCTCATAGAGCTGCAACAGTTGGGGACCGGTAACGGTCGGGAACTAAATGCACATGCTGATGGTAGCCAGATTCGCAGTCGAGAGGTTACTGAACAGATATTATTCCTTCATACTTTCAGCAGAATATTAAATAAGGTCAAAGCTAAACTTATGTGTTTGTCAACCGTTGATTATTATATGCCTGTTGATCATATCAGCTCAAAGAGATATTGTCATCGCTGTCGCAAGGAACTAAGGCTGCGGGTGGGGAACTTGTTCTTCCAACGGTGGACTCGAAAATGCCTCCGTCAAGTTGGTATTCATTTGCACGAAGCTCTCCTTCCATACGTGGAATTGTATTAGCACCATTTCGAAAAAAGTATGAATACAGGTACATGTTTAATGATTTCATCTTTTTGTGCCGATTTGCTTTCAAATACACTTTTTATGTTTTCACTTTAATTTCTTCCCTTTCTTTTTTCATGGCATGGTACGATATGAAATGCAACTATGAGGATGGTAAAATATGAGCAGAATTCAGGACATGAGTAGGTTGCGAACCCGCGATTACTCTTACTGAGAACTATCCTGTTATTTAACGCGCCAACTCTGCTTTGCCTTTACCTCAGCCGTCTTTTTACGTTATCAATACTGTCAGCAATTAGCCGTCAGTGGGAACGGTCCGGTGAGCAAAAACTGTGGTAAACCCAGTTCAGCTGGATCTGCGTTTGAAACCACAATATTTAACTCTTATTTACTACCTATTGTTTTTTCTTGGCAGGGTACAATGTGAAATACAACCGTAGAGACGCCGATAGCCATTCCTGTTGAGCGATGATTGCGAATAAGCCAGAACAAGGGCCGTGGTCTGTACGGTGGATAACACATGACCCTATGGTATAGGTAATCGCTGGTTGGAAACCCACCTGATGTTCTGAGTTATAGTCCTATCTAGACAACTTTGTAGTTGTACACTTTTTGTGTTTGAAGTCCATCTCATTTCAGTCGTATCAACTCTATGCTCGATCGTGTTGAGTGGAATGCAACACAACGTTTAGCGGCAATTTCCGAGGTGATAATAGCAGCTAGTGCAGTACTGCGAGCGGCAATGGATCATGTTCGTTTGCCTGCTGCTCAGAAGCGAACGATCAAAATCGACAGTGAATTCGTGAGTGGTCTGCAGGTGTTTTATGTCTCTTTTTTGTTCACCTTAAAAATGTTTTCCTCTTTATTTCTTTGTTATTCAGTTTTTATCACCTATTAACATTTCCTTTCACTCGGTTGGTTTATTCAATTTGCCAGTTTATATTTCGAAGGCGTTTTATGTGGACTTCCTTCTTACCTCCTACATTTTAGGTTCATTCACTTTTTGAGTGCTTTATTGATTCTTCCGACTGGTTCTCATGCGAATTTTTCGATCGAATAAATGGTGGTCGATTCAAACCTTCATCAGGTATTTTTTGTGTTACTCTTGTCTTGGCTTGTCTCTTTACGAAATATATAAAGCACTTTTTTAGAATTTTATTCGGGAAAGTCTACGTATGTGTCGGCGGGTTATCGTAATCCCATTCGCTTTTTTGTGGAGTGGCTAGCAATTTATGCTACAGGATCGACGGCCCATACCAGCAACGTTAAGGACAAAAAGACTTGTGATGATTTGGGAAAGGATCAAAATGTTGGTTAACTTTTTCTGATCTTCATTTCTTTTATATACTTTGTACTGTTATGACCAATATATCTTTCTTTTAACTGTAGCTAAACGTTTACTTTTTGTGAAGACGTAGGTGTGATATTGTAGCCCCTCCCTCTCCTCCTTCTATGCGATATTGATGACCGTTATTGCTTGGAGTTGAGTTTAATATGTTTTTGCAAAAATTAAAGACGACAACATAATTTTAAGGGAAGGAACGAAGAATGAGGATGAAAATTCACTCATTCATTATTTTTGCCTTCCATTTTTGTTTCAACGCTCATTTGCAAGCACGAAAGCAATTGAAGAGGCAGGACTTAATCCAGCGGAATATGATGCTGTTCTCCAATGAGAATGAGGAAAGTGGAATCCGCGAAAACGAAATGCGATAAAAACGCATACGAATCCCCTGATCTTCATAGTACTTCCAGAATCTCTCTCGATACGTGCTCATTAATCGACTAAACTGCACGTGTTGAACTAGTTGTGACTACGGTTAACGTTAGCATGCAAACTGAATGAACAGCGTCGATTTACCTTGCACGAATTAAGAAGGTTGGCCACATGAATATTGACCTTAATAGGAAGGAGTGCTTTCCAACTTATCCCTAAGTCTTTAACAAAGTGGGAAATTATCAGTGTCAGAGATATATCGATAATCTCTGGCACTTTGTCGTACGTGATGGTTACTCCAAAGAACCTGAACGACGGTGAGAATGGGAACATATTGAAGACAACATTTAAAAAAATATTAGGAAGGAAGTTCCGTCATGCTTGCAACGGGATTAAGATAGCATATAGAAACTTCTATCTACCTCTTAGAGAGTACTGTCCACAACGTATAGAAATTTCTACTTACTTCGTATAAAATGCTTGGTCCTACTTGGTGTTTACTGTTGCATGCTAGCATTCTTAGGATGAAAAGACTCTTGCTTAAGAGTTTAATATTTAGAATTCGGTCTGAGTCCTTTCCAATTCATGGAAGGGGCGCCTATAGGTGCAGTGGTTAAAGGTGCACTGCAATACCCATAGCTTTTGTTCGCTCACTGACGTGAACCAGGTTCGCCAATCCTTCCATCGATCAGAGGTCGGCAAATTCGTACCAAACATGTCTCAGAGAGTAGAATAACTGACTTGATACATCAGTAGGTGACGGCAGCTAATTACCTAGACCGGATATGCATGTGCGTTCAAACAAATCTACGGTCCTTGTTGAAGTTGAATGTATGATGAATCCCTTGCGGATTGATCAGGACTGAACGCTTAATCTTTTATATGTTAGACGGCGAATCGGGCAATCTGAGTTGACGTCAACACGTTCTCTTTCCGGTTTATGTTGCTGCACAAGGATATTTAGTATATTATGGACAACTAAGGTACTATTGATTTCTCTGCATCTGAAGTCGACTAAGTGCCCTTTTCACCAACGGAGTAGCACTATTTCCTCGAGAGTACTAGGTATGAGTACGGTAGTAGCATATCCTATATCCCATGTCGATTAATTGCACTCTATCTGTATGAACAGAGTGGCTCCGCTCGCAGTGACGGAGTTTATAACTGGTATACAGGAAGGTAGTTCGGGCTACGTGGAATTGTTTCACTTTAAAGCGCACCATGGAAAATTAGGCACTGTACCACGTCGTCGCTACACAATGTTGGACGCCCCAGTCGAAGTGTGTCAAACCTTTGTAGAAAAGTTTTATCAAGTAAATTTGATGTGGTTTCAGCAGTAGTAGTCTCCAATTTTTTACAAGTACATTACATAACTATGTACTAACCTGTAATCTGATTTGTGTAGAGCTATGACTACCGTTTTTCATTTCTCATCATTTCTATAGGTCTATTTGTTTACGTGGCAAGCGGATCCAATCACTGGTAGCTACTACTGTTATCGTACTTCGATGATCGTTCACCAAGTGAATTCTCCTGCTTTTAGGATTGATGGTGTGTGACGTATAATTTTATAAACGGTGCAAAGTGTATTATTTCATTATGTTTCAGGATATAAGTTTTCAAATGGTACATACTCCACATGGACGGAGTCTCTTTATAATATCGAAAACCTACAGCTGTATTTAGTAGAAGAAGAATCATTTGAAAAGGTTATGCTGTGTCTAGGAGTGGCGCTCGCTTTAATATCATTTTTGGTATGTTTCGAATTAGCGCACTATGTTGTATCGTTATGTTATGTACTTACGAGTTTGACATGGTGAAGGGCTTCTTCTCCCTCTTTCAACCTGCCACATGATTTCGAACTTCAAAACTGCTAAATTAGACCTTTATATTAACATTATTAATACAATAATACGAATTACGAGATGAACACGTGTGCAAAAGTAGTGTTGTGATCAATCTATAAAGTTAATTTTTAACACAGTGATCATCTAGAAAACTAAGAGCCATCACATCCTAGCTAACTAGGACAAATGCTATGACCATTCGTAGTTGTCTTTATTCAAAGCCTACCGACAAGATTCGCCGTATATGACATCTCGGGAACTGTGACGGTCCCAAAATTATTATAAGGAGCTGTGGGATGTGTAAAGCGAAGTTTACTAAAAGATCAAATAATACGTCATCTGACACAGGGGTACTTGTGACAATACACTGGAGACCATGAAAGGATATATGTATTCTATGTAGGAGCATTTTATACGAGGTAAGTAGAAATTTCTATACGTTGTGGACAGTACTCTTTAAGAGGTAGATAGGAGTTTCTATATGCTATCTTAATCTCGTTGCAAGCAAGACGGAATTTCTTTCCTAATATTTTTTAAAATGTTATCTTCAATATGTTCCCATTCTCACCGTCGTTCAGGTTCTTTGGAGTGACCATCACTTACGACAAAGTGCCAGAGATTATCGACATTTCTCTGACACTTATAATTTCCCACTTTGTTAAAGACTTAGAGATAATTTAGAAAGCGCTCCTTCCTGTTAAGGTCAATATTCATGTGGCCAACCTTCTTAATTCGTGCAAGGTAAATCGACGCTGTTCATTCAGTTTGCATGCTAATGTTGACCGTAGTCACAACTAGTTCGACACGTGCAGTTTAGTCGATTAATGAGCACGTATCGAGAGAGATTCTGGAAGTACTATGAAGATCAGGGGATTCGTATGCGTTTTTATCGCATTTCATCGAATACTAAAAACCTATCACATATCAGGGATTCTCCTCCTGTCCCCAGTTTTACGAACGTGGTTTTGGAATAGTCGACTATTCCTAGGTTGTGGCTGCAAAAAGTCTCAGTAGTGAATATTAAGGTTGACCTTTGGCTAGTGATAAATATAGTATTATTAGTGGGTTACTCGTATAGAAGAAGTCTAAAAAGGAGTGGGAAAAGAGCTTTTTGTTGCATGTTTTCATTTTTCAGAGTGTATACTCACTTCTTGAGAAAAGGTATTGATAAAATACGAAGTGGCAATGATTATGCCTGGCCACTTCTAGAAAACAATGATTGACACTAATGGGTTGGTGTCATTCCATACGGCAGCCAGACGTATTTAAGCGCCGGTTATAAATGTTTACATTTGAAAATATAAAGGAGGTTGGAAGTTCGACTTCGTGTGGAATTTGTTGTAAACTAATTCTATATCCGGCAAGGTTTCAGGTTGTTGGGCGTTGCACCGAGAATTCTTTTATTATTGATGAAGGAGAACGTCTCGCTATGGAAGGAGAGCCGTTGTAATGGCTAAATGTTCCCCATGCGTAGGAATCTACTTCCTGTTTTGTGGTCCGGTTACTTGGTCTTATTCTGATTAACTGCTTATATATGTATAAATTATTATTATTCTCATTATCACTATTATTATTACCGGGTTTAAAATTTCCATGCCGAATCGATCATTTCGTTCCAAGCGGCGCTGGGATTTAATCTCAGCTTCTCTTGATCGCTAAATATGACATCAAGAGTTTTGCTTTATGGTGATGTTGTTCATGATCTCCTATATGTTAATAGCGGCTAGTTCTAATTATAGACGCTTCTTACTGCATTCTTAAATAAATATCAATCTTCGTTTGATCACTGTTGATGAATGCCGCTTTTACTAATGCGTACTTCCTACTTCACTTCGCTTCGATTGTTTCCACGACATTGACTTTCCAGCTTAAATACCTTTATTTGGGGCGTAATGGTGGTCATTCTATAGGAATGTATGAATCAAGGATCAGATGTTAATTAGCTCGTAACCAGCGCTATATTCGCGAGTATTAAGTGTTCTCAAAAGCTTCGGGGTATATTGATCCAAATGGTCTCCTGAATCTCACTAGTTGTTGATTTCCTTTTACAATGTTCATGGTATTCATTCGGTAATGTCCAAACCCGATTTCGCAGTTCTCACGGGAGATATCGCATTGTTGTAGCTGTAGGTGCGATCAGTCCGTGTGTATTCAAAGTTATGTTTAATGGGCTATACTTTCCGTCTCATGAATGTACTCACATTGAACATCCAGCTGATCACATGGGTATTTGTGGTTGCTCGAATAGTATTTGTTTTTATGCGCTACTGGCGCAGCAATTGGTTTACTACAGACGACCGTATGTTCCGCTTCTAGTTCTGAGTAATATTTGAATAGTGGCGGTGTGGGAGTTATAGTGCTTGTACCAGGTTAAGGTCTACACAGTTTTGCAACTCATGGTAATGATCCTCTTGAAAATGCAATGGTAGCATCGTGCGGTAAGTCATGCACAAGCACCGCGTGCAGTGACAGAATGGTGGAGTCAATTTGTTTATCCATTCATCTTACTTTTATTGCCTTGTCTCTAATACTTACTGAAGGAAATTCCTCCCAACAATTTGCCTCCTCATTGTGGCTGGGAGATGTTCCTGGCCGCCGGGGTGCAATGTACAGCGGCGGATTCGTGGTCCCGGCAGGATCTCCCAAGATGAGGAGTCCGGCGTTTCTTTTAGGAAGCCTAGTTGAGAGTAAACCGATACCAGGATCCACCATCGTCCTGGTATAAGCGCGGCACTGACTGTGGTGGTTACAACCCGGGGCAGACTTTACCTGGGCTGACCTCGGGACTCCAGGAAGCCACAGCAGCTAAACCAGTAAAACTCCGAAAAAGTGGAAATTATGCTAGAGGCCACACAACCAGTCAAGACCGGTCGTCCAGGTATCCACGTAAGTATGTCTAACATTTACGGCGATTCATCGTCAGAAGACGTCTCTTGAATTTCCTTTGTATTAACCGTAACTTCTCATGTGGGCTAACAGCCCATGTTTCTATTCCACAGAGATGAGAGAATTTCTGCATCAAATAATTGACCCTGTAGCGGCCTACAGTTTGGTCAAGGGCGTATGCTAGAAACTCGAATGTGGTGTATGTTAGTCGTTGTTTTCAACCGAATTCTTTTTTCAAGTGAATATCCATTTTTGTTGAATATCTCAGCTATATGTTGGGTGTTGTCTCCACAATCCATGATCCATCCAGGATGATCTGTTCTCCTTCAGACCAAACGTACTTTATGGATTTTGCTTCCATTTTATCATTATTAACGCCTTTTTTGACTTCATTGAGTTCAGCAAGTACTACCTCCACTTTTACGGTATTGCTTGAAATGAACAGTGTCAAGACAAAAGGAGCGTTTGAAAGGAATCAACGCGCATCCATTTGAGTGACACCAATGTAGCGCGGATTTCTCCGCGCACTGTTCCACTCATATATTACACTGACGTTCCCTTGAGTTCCCTAAGAATAACCATGGTCTCACATTGCAGTTTAGAAGTCTAGCCTATTCGTGTAATGATTTGATGTGGTTTTATATACCTGAAAACTTTTCCACTTCAATTTTATAAACTCCCTACTCGATCATGTTCAGTGGAATGCTCCATAATGTTATGCAGCGATCTTGGAGATGACAATAGCAGCTAGTGGGGTGCTGAGAACTACCATGGACTATTTTCGTTTGAGTACTGCTCATAAATGGTAAGTACAAATGGAAAGGTTTGTTCGTCCTACCTCAGCATTACGAATACTATACGTTTCCTATCGTTTCGAAATATTTCCTACTAGTCAATATGTATTCTTTCTTGATAAGCTTGCACGAGGTTGATAAATATATTTATTTTCGGCTAACGTTTCGTCTTCGTCTTCCTCAGAGCCGGTGATCCGAGTCGATGGTCCATGCTTGTTGTTCGCCTCGACGTTGCGTCTTCGCCTTCGTGTCGAGCCAGATCTTCCTCAGTGAGCAATTCGAATTCGATTGATTCGAGAAGATGGCTCACTGAGGAAGATCTGGCTCGACACGAAGGCGAAGACGCAACGTCGAGGCGAACAACAAGAATGGACCATCGACTCGGATCACCGGCTCTGAGGACTGAGGAAGGCGAAGACGTCGAAACGTTAGCCGAAAATAAATATATTTATCAACCTCGTGCAAGCTTATCAAGAAAGAATACATATTGATTAGTCACACCGAGGTTTAGGGAAGGTCGGTTTCAAAATATTTCCTACTAGCTTTGCAGTGCCATCCCATTGGTGGCAAATTTTTTATGAGGTGTATTTTTTGCTATTCCTTAGATCATATCTCTTTTCATGCCTGTCGAAGTTAAAGCGTATAAATTGCACCTTAACAAATCACAAGTATGTGAAGGTTTTTGGGTATCTGCACTTTTCGAGTGCTTTATAGATCCTCTCGATTCGTTTCCTTGCCAATTTCTGCCTTTGCTCATTAGAGATAGATGCGAGTATAATACGCGTTCGTTGTCCGCTCGTAAGAACTTGAAATAATTATTTTTATTGCTGTTATTAAATTTCAATTTCAGGACATTTTTCTGGGTATACTACCTATCTGTCAAGTAGTTACCACGATCCTATATGTTTCTTCGTCTGTTCGATAGCCGTCTGTGTCACGAGGTCCACTATGATAACTTGAGATATAGCTGATGAAAATTCGCGTCAGAATTTTCATTCAAATCATGAACTGGATGTTTTTCTTTTACAACATAGTTGTATAGGTGGTATTCTTTCACTATCTTAGGAAAGTCGAGTCATTACTTGTTGTTCACAGTTGTTAAACATATCATTACTTGTAACATTTTTCTAGGAGCCCTCATAGGCGTATGGTCACATCCTATTATTGTCATCGTTCTTCAGTGTACCATTTCTACACTTTTTCGCTGGCATTCATCATAGATGGTAGATGTTGTCCTTTTGATGTTACTGCGCTTTATTGTTTCTATTCTATGTATTGGTTTTTGCCAGAATAGTAATTTTTCAAATCGGTCTTACCCCATTTCGTTTTGTTGAGTATGTACAGTTTCAGCTCTTTGTAGACTAGTTTTTTTTTCAGGTTATGTTCGTTTTCATGTAATTCGTTGCTGCGACGACAGTAACATTATGACCATCCAAGGAGGATAAGTTCTAGTTAGTTTTGCTCAAGATGTCGATTTGAGGTGGTTGCTGTAGATATGCTCCGTATTTAATCGTTTGACGGACAATATTTTTATTTAGCTTTATATCGACACCTTTCATTCAGAATTGAAGTATCCAAGCAATGTGCTATTAGCTTTATATCACTTTATATTTCGTTCACGTAGCAGTCTTGTATTAGATAAGTTATGTTGAACTTTGATCTGTTAATGGATAGGTTTCGTTCTTCTGTTCCGCTGTATTCATTTATTATCGCCATAAACATCATTATCATGTGTCAGAGTCTCTCTTGCGAACAGTTGTTTTCACTGAAAACGTATTTCTTGAGTGGATTATGAATTAAGGAGTGGTACAGCGTGTATACGTTACTTGTTATGTGGGACTGTAATGTCTGGTACTGGTTCCACAACTGCGCTGAAAAAGGATAGACAACGTTGTTATCAGGTTTGTCTTGGATAGCCCGATAATTCTAGTCTTTGATGTCGCTAGCCTCCTCACCAATGTTGAAGTCATCGAGTGAAGACCACAGGAACATAAATAACCTTTTCTGTTTTGGCAGTTAGAAGTACATCGGACATGCTGGTGTTATTATGCCTTTAGTTGCAACAAGTCTGGTATTTATCTGGGATTGGGGATTTTTCTCGTATTGTTTACTAAATGGTGCGGGCAGTGAAAGTGCTTTAGCTGTGTGAGTCTACAGCTGGTTTGTCCACGATGTTAAGTATAGGAGTGGCTTGCCTCAAATTTGGTCTAGTGTTCAGTATTACTACATGATTTGAAAAGTATTTGAAAAGTGGGAAACATGTAGGCGTATATACCTTATAGGTGGTCGCCTTATAGTGCGCACTGTATACTGTGTAGGTCCAATTTGACACTTGAAACACTTGAATGGCCAATCCTCACTGGTTTTGCGAGCCCCAACATAATCTCCATTTTGTCGGGGTTTGCTGGCTTAGCCACTGTGGTTCCCTAGAGTCCCAAGGTTTGCTTGGCCAAAGTCTGCCCCAGGTCTTCACCACTACAGGCAGCAGCCACTCTTGTGAATCAGAGGGAGATTTGCCACCATGCGATCTTGATACCAGGATGGTGGCGGATCATAGTATTAGTTTACTCTTAGCTAGGCTTCGTGATGGAAACGCCAGACTCCTCAGCTTGGAAGACCCTGCCAGGTGATGAATTTCTCGCTGTACATCGCAGTCCGGCACCCAGGAACACCTACAAGCCACGATGAGGCGATAAATAGTTGGGAGGATAGGTCCAATTTACGTTACTTTTGTCCACCTATCTCCAAACTTTTCCCAGCTCGTGCCTTTAGCCTTCGATATATGTTCTGCCAAAGGCGGAATAATTTGCTAGGATTTCATTTGCGCTTCGGAGGCCATCGTCCACGCGCTGTTTGAGTGCTGTTTAAATTCTTCGAGGTGGTTGTAGTAGTAACCTACGTCTTAGCTGTAGAAGCACTTCTGGTATGACCATTGGGTTAAAGGAGAGGGCAGAAAAGATGTCAGTGATTAGTTTGAAGCTCCACAGTACATCGAAGGCAAAACGCATCACTCGGCAAAAGTTTGAAGATAGATGGACAAACGTTACGTAAATTAGACCTATAGAGTATCCAGTACATACTCTAAGTCGACCATCTGTAAGTTGTGCTAGCCTGTGTGTTTTTCACTTTTCAAATACTTTGCAGATCATGGAACAGGTCTGGTCATCTTTCCAAAAACTTTTAAGTGCAGTTATAGGTACAGCTGTTCTAGAATGGTAAGACTGTGTTGTTTTTCACTGAACATCGCTCACTGAACACTGAACATTGTAAGCAGGTGTTTTGATGCATTCCAGTTAGACCGATAAGCACATTTATTCTGTTTTTAGTGGTAAAGGTGCCTTATCGTTCCTAATTAATTCCAGGCTCGAGAGGACTATTTGTTTTGTCTTGATAGGGAACTTGACCAAGGAAAAACAGAAGAGCAGGTGTGTTTGCCATACCATTGATAGAAAAGCGGTGTTATTATTTTCGACAAATCTCCGATATAATGGCTTTCTCTTCCAGGCATCTCAGTCTTGTCGCGCCTCATTTCGCACATTTCAAAGTGCTTGTCCAGCTTCTTGGGTTGGACATTTTATAAGAAAACATAGCTTTGAGCGGTATAAGAGGGTTCTGGCCCAACAAGGTGTCAATATTGCAGATGACAATGCTCTTGGTGGTGGCAAGAAGGACTAGCGAGGTATTACTGTGGTGATACTTTAATTTTATTCCTTTCATAAAAGGTGATTCTGTATACTTCCTAGAGCGTGTTTAGTGAAATGAATTTCACTGTACTCAAGTTCTTTTTTTAGGCTTTCAGAAGAATTTTGCACATTGAGCAACTTCGTGGTCTTACCATTGAACCATTCAATAGACGTATAATTACTGCTGAAATCAGCACAACATTTTGTTCCAAGTTCTTTTTCACGATAGCAGCTCAATCTTCTGACATTTGGAAACATCCCAAGAAGGATTCCATATCGTCTGAAATACGTTCTCTTTGCAAATCCATTGTGCATAGAAGAACAGTTTGTGTGGACCACTCCTCAATATTATCCCTATGTGAGGTATGTTACACATAGTCTGAATCGTATTCTTGTCGAACACAGCTGTTTCTTACTTCAGGCTGAGTCGGTTTGCTCACACCCAATTCTCAAGTCCATTGACTTGACGCTGCCACCCACCCAAGCAAATTTTTCATTTGGCCTAAACGACAGTCGCTTGTTAGCCTCACTTCGACTGTGCCATGAATTTGATTTTGGTTGTAAATTTATCTGTTATCGTCTGGCCACAATGTCTCCATCAGCTTTGCTTGAATCAGCGCGACTTCTCGCAGATGCCGAGGTGCATAAACGATGTGCGTTGCGGACCCACTCTTACGAAAACGATGTCGATATTGTTGGCGTAGCGCAAGATTTGTATAAACGAGTGGATAAAAGCCGTTTGCCCCCATCGATGGCTCTTGCTACAAGTTTGTTTACATTTGCAGTAAATCAAATAACAGAACTCATCTTTCTGTTCAAAGTTATTCTGGTTGTTTTAGACACTCTTCTTGGGTGCGTGATCGATCCAGTTCGTGCCATATCTGATTTCAGTCTCAATAATATGAAGAACTTGATTCATCGTGACGACGTGCATTATCACCTCGCATGTGCCGCTCTATACTTTGAACGGTGGGACCAATTTAAGTAAGTGCTTATTTCGTTTACTAATAGGTTTAAATCATGGACTATCTTCATTAAGTATAATCGAAGACCACACTTAGCATAGGCTGTCCATTTTCACTGTTTTTGGCGAACTCAGTATAGCTCACCGCGCTTTTTGTGCATAAAAATTTTTTGGTAAGCTTCTTAATGAAGGCATCAAACTTCTAAGGTTGAATGACCCTACTGGGAGAAAGATTTTTCTTCCATTCTGCTGTTCTTCTCAACTATTTGTCATCAACTATTCGTCTCATAGGCGTACTCATTTGCTTTATTTTCTGTCTTTACGCGCCGTCTTTTTTGCTCCATCCTCGGTGCTTTTGTAAACTCACCAACCTCCTAATTTGCCTCTACTGTTTTTGGCGGTAAAACCTACAACATCTTAACTTCTTTATCTAGATGCAAACAGCTGGATCAGGCATTCGTGCAGTACAATAGTTTTCTTGAGGTGATTCTATTCCAATTTCGGATAACGTTTTCAAAGGTAGTTGGATAATCAATGCCTTCTTGTATTGTTAAGCTAATAGTATGTAATGTAATTGGATAATCTGTTATTTTGATGGTATGGTATCGCTTTGTCCGACTTCTTTTCTTATACCAGTAAATGTTTCATAACACAGTGGTAAAACTGGTTACAAAATTGTGCTATGGCTCATAAAGAATTTTTATGTAGTGAGTAGAAACGCCATCGCTCTTTGTAGCCTTCGCGACCATTTTTATCTCAATTAAATCGAAGGACACTTTTGATTCGATGAAAGTGGTACAAAGCGGTTTCTTGCAAGGTCACTATGCTCCAGTGTCGCTTTTTTTAAAAATTTCTGTATCGCCCATGTATAACCAATCATGAGGTCTTTTTTCATCTAGTATTCTGTTAGAACTATTGTAGGGAATTCTTCTGAACAGCTTGTAAACAATTGCTTACTGTCACGTTGCTCAACAGTTGTCACTACTTTTTTGCAGAGCAAGTCAGTTTCCATCGTTTTTTCCATGGATACTGTGTTTACAGATATGTTCATGTGTTCATGAATCTAGGTGTTTAAGTCTCTGTAGAATTAATTGAAGACCTTATTGGTCTTGCAAAAAGTGTGATCTTTTCTATAGAACTTCTCTATGTGGATATAGAATGCTTTCGCACCGCGTTCGTCATACTCTGATATGGAATCGTAAGCGGTGAGGATTGTGAAAACAGCGGTAGTTCAAATGCTTTCAATCTTCCGCGCTTCTGGTTTTAAAAAAAAGCCTTCCTTGCTGCTGCTCAACTGATCATGGAATGTGACAGTAGCGTTATATATTGGAAATGCTGTTACCATAAATCACAAAAACATAGGAAAAAGCAAAAATATTTGAATTTCCCGCTAACTCACTATTTACTCTTAGGCAAAGAGGTTGGGAGTAATGACTATCTGTCTTTGGTGTACCGAACTGGCATCATCCTTTTTGTACGTGGACATTCATGCAAGCGTGCATGGCTGTGGTCGTTTTTTTATGGATTGTATCCTGTAAGATGAGTTGACGAAAAATTTGCAACGAGTAAGCATAGGAAATACACTGAGGTGGTTCGAATTACCTTCTAACAAAGTATTCTCACCTTTATTTCAACAGAAACCCGAAAGCTGCTTTTTGAGTCTCTGCGTTTCTGCTGCGTCGATATGCCACATACTTTGTGTGTTTACGAGGCTTATTCATGCATGTGTGTGTGGGTGCGTTCTAGTTTATGCGGATTGTGTTCTACAAGTCAATTCGGCGAAAAACCTGCAATTAAGTGACAGGCAAGTATATAGGAGGCAGTTAAAAGTTGCCTCCAACAAATGAACTCCATGTCCACTCTGGGAGAGACTGGCAAGCTACCCATGAGTATATCCAGCCTCACGTTCAGAGCCTAGCAAGCTATACGTGGGTATGAAAGGCTAAAAACAGTGAGAGAAACGGGCCTCATTCCCCAACCCCGAAAGAGCTCCCATTTCGGTAGCGTTGGGTAGGAAGAGTACGGAGAGGCTGCTAAAATCTCAGAGCCAATGGAAGCTGCGTAGATTGCAAAGAACTAAGGTAAAAATGTTTACCTACAATGCACGTACGCTTGCATCCGAGTCCTCGTTAGAAGACTTGATCATGCAAACGAGAAAAATAAGGTGCGACGTCATCGTCCTGGCCGAGACGAGACGACGCTACCCATTCAACGCCGTCTATGATACCGGAGAAGTACTGTTCCTCAGAACATGCGAGAGTAGAGGAATCGGCGTCGTCGGCGTTCTCGTCAACACGAGTTTCTCCATAAACATTAATTCATTTGAACAACTAACAACCCCAATCGGACGTTTGCGATTAAGAAGATGTGAATCAATACCGGCCTTGACAATCTTAGTCTTTTACGCGCCATCATCAAACTATGACGAAGAAGAAGAATTCGAAGCGTTCTATATGGACTTGGAGAAGTTGTACAGAGAAGACCATGCATTGTTCAACGTCGTCGTTGGAGATTTTAACGCCAAGATTGGACCCATATGATCGTCTGAAGAACGTCATTGGGACCCACGGATTAGAATGGAATGAACAAGGTGAGCGGCTGTCTGAATTTATCATGGCGACCAAGACAATCCATGGTAACTCGCATTTCCAGAGGCCCCACCCTCAACGCTGGACGTGGGGGTCTCGCAATGGAGAGTACCATAACGAAATAGACCACGTCATAGTAAACCGAAGGTTTTGCCTAACCGATATCGCTGTTGTCTCAAAATTCTACGCATCCTCAGGTCAGCATCTCCTTCGTGCAAGATTCCATTCCTCTCAGAAAGGAGAAAAAGCCGCTAAATTCGGAAAACGAAGTCGCAAAACAACCATTAAGTGGGACTTAATCAATTCATTAGTCGGTTGTTTGGAAGATGTTGTTATTGACAACATCTACGAGGAATACGGTTGCCTCATTCAACATCTTAACCTTAGCGCTATGAAAGCTCAGAGTTCGAAAGTCAACAAGAGACGTCTGTCACCAAAAACACTCGAGCTAAGACGTCAAAGTGGAATCGCACGAGCTAGAGGCAACCGCGAACTAATAACCGAAATTGCAAAACAATGTAGGTAGGCGATAAAAGAAGATGTTAGAGAGAGAAGAGCAGCAGTAATGGTCGAAGCTGCAGAGGATGGGAAAAGCATTCGCAAAGCCCACCGAAGTTTCGCCAATTACAAGACGAAAATGATTGCTCTCCGGCGCCCAGACGGAACAGCTACAGCATCCAGAAAGGCAATGGAGAAAATCATTCACGAGTACTACTCAGATCTCTTCAATGACCACGTCCTCCTTCCCTCGTATGAAGTAAAGGAGCATGGAAATGTTGTACCACCGGTTCTCCCTTCCGAAACCCGATAAGCCATTTCGTCGGTGAAAAATCGAACAGCACCAGGTCTAGACATCTTAACATCCGAACACAGGAGGATCCTTCCGCCAGTCCTCATAAGCACACTGGCTCAGCTTTTCACACGTTACCGGTCTGAATGCAAGGTCCTTACTCAGTGGAAGACCAGGAGGACCGTGCTAATGTTCAAGAAGGGCGACGTCCACGATATCGGAAACTATCACCCAATCTGGTCGCTCTCTGTCGTCTACAAACTTTTCACTCGAGTCATCCTAAATAGGATTGACAGAACACTGGACGAAGAGCAGCCAAGTGAGCAAGCAGGGTTTCGAAAAGGATTCAGTACGATGGACCACATCCACACGATAATAAAACTCATTGAAGTACCGCGAGAGTACGAAAGACTGCTCTGTCTCACTTTTCTCGATTTGAAGAAGGCCTTTGACTTCATTGAAATAGAATCAGTCATGTAAGCCTTTGATAATCAAGAAGTTCCTACTCGGTATATAAAGATTCTCCGCGAGCTGCACAAAAATTTCACAGTCAAGATATCATCACTCTACAGTGGTGTCAAACCGACATCGAAAGAAGGGTTAGGCAAGGCGATACGATTTCGCCAAAATTGTTTACCAGCACCCTCCAG